TACAACTGAGTTCTTGGAAGTGAATAAAACACTCAAAAATAAACATTCTTTTTTTGGCATCTTGCTTAAAAACCCTTGACTTAAAATCAGGACACTTCTAAATCCAAGCATGAGTGAAAGAAATGTGAAAAGTTGTTGATTTTACTGTAACGATGAGTATACATCGTTCGCGATCGATCCTTTATGGAAATCAAACTAAAAAAAGGTATACGCCCTTTGATTAAGACATAGAACATAAGCTGTTGAAAAAGACCCCTGGAAAAGAGAGAGATTTTCACTGTGTAAATCAAAGCTGTTCTAAGTCCCTCATAATCAAAATTCCCTTTAACTTAACCACAATTGGATAGTTAATGTTGTAGAGCGCCGGCCTGCCAAGCGGGAGGTCGAGGATTCAAGCCCCAGACTGGACCAACACTCAGGGTCATAAAATAACTGAAGAGAACGTGCTACCTTTGCCATGACATCTGCAAACGGTCAGACATACAAGTCTTCTCTTTTAAATAAACTGTGGGCCTCGTCTCCTACATCTTCCTCTGGTTAGTAGGTAACTTAAAAAAAAAGCGGAGCACTTCTCAGCTTTGTGGTCTGGATTTGTTATTGTTTATATTCAGATCTTCATTTAAACCAGCTTTAAAGCTGAATAGGGCCAGTCATTCTATAATCTCCCTCGCAGCCGTTTTTTTGGATGTCACGCAACGCTCCCCCAAAAGAACGGCTGCTGACAACCGAACTACATTCCTTTCTCATTGTCCTTGCGGTTTGGTCGCGGTCTATTGAACAGACCAATCACATAACAGAAAATCTGAGTGACGTAAGGTTTCACGCGAAAATGTGGATGTTGGGAGAAACACTTTAGAAATTTGTCAATGAGAGCTCGAAATGTTTCACATGTTCATCGTTGTGCCCTGGTAAAGATAGAGTATATATTTTTGGGAAAACTTCTCACAATTTCGTTGAAATTATAGAATCTACGCTTAACATAGACGTCAACTGCTACGCCAACGACACGAACGCTAGATTGTTTGAGCGGTTGTTAAAGTTTCAGCGAGCAACTGAGAAAGTAGAAGAAGCTAAAAACTGAACTGAAACTCTTTATTCGCACTATTTCAAGAGGTTACTACAGATTATAAAAGTCAGAATATATAAGAAACAGTAAATTACATCAATAATCAAAAGGAAATACAAGACGCCTTTCAATCTAGGCCAAGGGCTAAACGCTTGCTTCGACCTACAGATGGAGATCAGGAGGAAAAAAGCGCGTGCTTGCCGTCAACAAACCGGGCGAAGCTTCGAGAACACTGCAATTTAGGTCGGCCAACGTCTCCTACACTACTTGTACTTCTTCATTTGCCAGTCCGCTGCTAGCTGGAGCGAACCCGATTAGTTATGTTCGTGGCTTCTTATCACCGGTACAGGAAATCGGCCCGAATTATCGAGTGTTTCCGCACGTTGGTACAACGCAACAACAATAGAACGTTTTTAATTGCAAGCTTCTGGTGAGCTTTAAGCTCGAAAATTTTGAACTTTGACGACGCTTTGCGAAAAGCTCCTTCAAGCACCGCCATTTGTCTTGTGTTTTCCACATGAGGATCGCGATAGAAAACGATATCTGATTGGACGAATCTCAAAAGGTGAGTCTGGCGCGAAAAGGTTCCTGAAAATGGAACCCGAGCTGTGATTGGCCAATTCGGAGAAAGGAATGTAGTTCGGTTGTCAGCAGCCGTTCTTTTGGTGGAGCGTTGCGTGATATCCAAAAAAAAAACGGCTGCGAGGGAGACTAGTCATTCTACGGATCGCAAATAAATAAAAAAAATTAAATAAATAGACTAATCAATGAATTTGGTTATATGAAAATCATATATGGTACTGCGGTTTCATGAAATATTCATGTAGTAGTGGAAATAAGGTTTGAAAAAATTCAGGCCCGTACGGTATTTGAATCCATCACCTCTGCGATACTGGTGCAGTGCTCTACCAACTGAGCTAACAAGCCAACTGGGAGCTGGTCATTATGTTGGTTCGTATTAAACCTGTTGAAATGATAAACTAATGAATTTGAATGTATGAAAAACATATACGTGTGCTGCGGTTTCATGAAATTTATGAAAGCGACCTTCGCAGTAATGAATCCTACTTATGTAGTAGTGGAAATAAGGTCTGAAAAAAGTTCCGGCCCATATGAGATTTGAATCCATGGCCTTACTACTACATTATGGCATGCCGTATGGGATAATATTGTTGGCGCAAAAATATAGTGCAAAAGTTAAATATATATATGTCATGGATGAAATAAATATGATATGAATGGAATATATATGGCATGGACCAAATACGATATAAATATGGGGCAAATGCGCGAAAAATATATATGGTTATTGTGCCCATTGACAATTTGGTCAGCGGAAGATTGATAAAAAATAACATAGCGGCTCGTGACAGGATTGATGATTTAGAGCAATTTTTCGAGAGCTCTATTCCATCCCTTTTTCGTCAAGCTCGTAGAAATCTTCACTCTGAAAACATCAATGTCTTGGAGTATTTTGAACGCCGATTAGATGATCATGCCTACATTGTTAGGTGTTTCATATTTGAGTGCGAAGTGCAAAGCACTGGCGACAGTTTACTTGAGCCACTTTATCTCTTGTACTAAGAAATCATCGGCTTAAGAAGTCAGTTTCTAAATATTTGTTGCACGCTTCGAGACGATGCTTCTGAAAGTGGATTTTCTTGAAGTTTCAGGGTTTGAACTTGAACTATCGGAAGACCTAGCTTGCAAGGCTTCTTTGAATTGAGGATGATCAATAGTCTGTCGAACAAGTAAGTCGACAGTGGGAGTAGAGTTGGCCATAATTATTCGATTCCTCGATCAGATACCAAGTTTTCGCGCTTTCCAAAATAACGCCGCTGGCAAATGTGATACCGGGCACAATAGCCGTATATATTTTTCTTACTTTTGTCCTACGTCATATTTAACAATTATTCCACGAGCGCGCGTTGGATATGAGATGATAGATAGCCAACGAGGCGCGTGGCGCCGAGTTGGCTATAATCATCTCGTATCCAACAAGCGCGGCTGGAATAATTGTTTTATTAAAAACGCCCCCGAGGAATTATTATTTTGTAAGGAGAAACCGGATTTTTTAGCTCCCTTTTGATTTTAAGCTGACGCGTACGCTTACCATATTTGTAGATTATGGTATATTGGCTCATATATCATAATGGCTAAGCCAATAAAAAGTCTTGAATAGCATTATCCAATGATCCAGTTTTTAAAAATTCATTTATTCAGTACCATATATTGACCTGGTCCATGCCATATATATGTTACACACATATTCTATTCTGTCCGGGTCGGACACATATAGCGGCGTCGATGTCGAATAACAACAGAACAGCTCATTAAACCAACGAATTTAATGACGGCGAAGAATTCCAATGTTTACAAAACCCTCCGGTCGTCCTTTCATCATAAATTACGAGACTCAGGAAGCCGTAAAAACCATATGATGAAAGGCGGTAAACGAAAGAAAAGAAACAGTCTCACGTACCTAAATTATTTACAAGCGCTTCACCAAGTGCGTAAAAAAGGGTGGAAAAATAAAAATTACTACTGAAAGATTGTGGTCTACGTGACAAACAAAAAAATGGGGAACGGAACGGAACGGACTAACATAAAACCTTGTTGAGGAATAGCCTAACATATTCATATATTTATTTGATCCATGCCATCTATACGTAGCTTTTGCATTTTATTTTTTGGGCACACAATATTGTCCTATATGGCACCCGATACTACATAGCTAACCGCCTCCCGGTTAGCTCAATTGGTTAGAGCGCCGGATTGTACATGTGTTGTGCAGGAGGTCGAGGGTTCGAGCCCCGGCCGGACCAATACTAATGAGGAGAATTTGCTACCTTTCTATAATATCAAGAAATGAATAGATATCCTAGTCTTCTCGGATAAGGATGAATAAACCGTAGGCCCCGTCTCCTGCAGGGTTAGGGGTAGGAGACGTTAATTTCCCACGCACGAGATTACTGTGTGGTGGATGTCCTCCACTGCGGTGGGATGGGTGGGTTTACTGGGCCCCCAATAATTGGCGCAAGCTGTTGCGGTGTCCCTGCCTGTCGGCGAAGCTAATAAACTAAACTAAGTAGATAATTTGGATATATAAACTAAGTTGAAATGGTAAATTGGCCACCGTAACGATTACAAAAGCTGACGTTTCGAGCGTTAGCCCTTCGTCGGAGCGAATAGAGGAATTGTGGGTTGTGTGTGCTTTTAAAGGCAGAAAATGGAGCTACGTTATTGGTGGGAACATGGCAACGAGAAAAACA